AATAATCATACCAGACGTAGTTGAGGTAACGCTGCTTCTGAAGCAGTCTAACTAAAACGGTAAAATCCGAAACATGGTAGCATGAGCAGTCCTATACTTCTGCTAGAGACATTGTGGAGCGGCATCAGTCAGTCACAGGCGACTGGCGATTTAGAACGGGGACGTGCCGTGAAGAAAAGGTGCGGACTAAGCGACGCCAGTATCTGTAAATGCCTATTTGTCAGGGTGCCACTGTCCTGTAAGAAGTTGTTCGGGTCCAGGGATTCTGTGTGCGTGCATTGCCTGTGCTCTTCGGCTCTGTCCGAAGATCGACTGTGCATTTAGGTCAGCTGCCGCGTTACGGCACCTTCGGGAGTGCTTGCGTCAGCCTATCTACCTTGGTTCGTTATTGTTGTCGCCGCTTGTGGCGTTGCTGCCATCTGTCATTGCTGCTAACTGACGGACATGTCTACGAGATCCAACATGGGAGCCTATGAGGGGTCCCGCGCGTACATGCATAAAGGTTATATATTATGGAAATAAAAGAAACAGGTGGGTAAATGGGCACATGCAAGAAAAAGAGGCAACATAGAAAAAAAAAGACAAAAAAAGAAGCGATCTAAAGAATCTCGTACATAAAGCGTGAACGACTACACTAACGGGTATATACTAAGTATAAAGATATCTTTTACCGAATTAACGACAATAATAACAATGATGGTGACTATAAACCGTGCACATCGCGTCGAAGGCAATGTTATTTTTCTAATAGAGAATTAACTAGCTGTGTTAACATGCATGCACGTAGCTAAGAACGATGACAGGCTGGCGATAAGTGCGGCGGTAATCGCTTCACACGCCTCCGGCGTCAGAAGTAAAAATCTTATTTATATTACAGCAATCTAAGAGGCGCTATCCATCTATGAGCTGCCAAAATGTTACCACATCTGGTCGGCATATCGAAACTACCCGCACCATTGAACCAGTTCACCGCATACGGAAAACTGGCAACCACTACATGGTAATACATTGTCCAATAGGCTCTTGTTTACCAACCGACATTTATAGTTGTCGACGATCTAGGACAATCTAGACGAAAGCTATTATCGATATGACAAATCCTACGCATCTTATAAGTTTTCATGAATTTAAACCTGTTTGTCCCTAGCGGTAAATGGCGTGATGATCAACTACCTAGTTCGACGTCTAGTGAGTCACAGTGGTCTGTTTATATACTGTAAATATAAGTCATTATTTTAAGCGTACGCTCCAACGGAGACGATGGTAAAAACTATCACGCATAAACATCGATCAGCGCCGTTGACTTCTTAGATTATATGTTCTCTCCCATCAGCCCATTTTGAGCATATTCCTAATTGTTATTAATATCTACCGGACAAAAGCTTCACCTAGATCTATAAACGAACGTATATTTTCGACTTCACCTTCCTATGAAGCTCACACCTTTTTGAGGTGGATTTTGCATAGTCATTCACAGAACGACCGTACCCAATCAAACTAACATTCGTTTTAATAGAAATAATCCGTTTGTCGTTCGTCAGCGGTATTTTGTTACTTATACAATGCTTTTCAGCCCATTTGTTACTCACTTGTATAGCTGATAGCATAAACTTCTTTTTCTCTGTTAATAAAAGTCGTCCCAAAAAGCTTGTCAGATAGTAGTTTTGATCAAGACTAGGCCGATAATTTTATCGAAGAAGGTCGAAAATAACACTAAGCGTTCATCTGTATGGTTAGCCAGAAATAGGACTAGGATGGCTAGTACTGGCCTTCCGTTCTACTTCCTGTACACGATCGCGTCCCTGTACTGTGAGAATGCATTTATTGAACGACACACCGGTGAGAACGGCAACATCGTCCTCGAGCAGCTATTCGTAAAATACTTCCTTGTTTACTCTGTTCTTCATTGACAGCCGGGAGTATCATATGTAGTATCGTCTCTATATAACGCGTTGAGACCCTGGCTGGGCGAATGATTCAGGCGCTTAATTGAAACCGCCGTCGACCCCGAATCAGCTGGGCCATTGCCCGGCTTTAATCACAAGGAGATGAGGGACCGTCAAGGCGGAGACGACAGCCCACAGACGTGTCGCCGTGTGTCCAGTCACGACAGAGACGTCGGAGCTCAGATGAGTTGTGGGATAGCAGAGGTACAAATTCAAACAATTAGTATGGTTACATTCGATAGGTTACTGTATCAGTTTCAAGTAATTTGTTTAGCTCATCTTCTAAGAGGGCAACAATGGCGGCCATAACAACGGTGCGCGCCGAAATAATTCAGCTCGTCGTTTTCTTGACTTTACTGCCAAATCGGGAGTAACATTAACTGCAATGAACAAACCATCGACTCGTACGGGCAGTATCAGATACCTAGTACGATCCGCTTTGACAAATTGATAGATGAACATATCGAGGGTGTCGCAGTACGAACGCTAGCAGCGACTGATGGCAAGCATCTGGTTCCATTGGCGATGGTGGATCAGCGATGGAGCCGAAATAGGTAGACGCATTTGCCCTGTAAAAAGCTGACAAAAGCAGTAGAACGAACAGAAGCCAACCCCTTTTAGCGTTTTGGAAGGACAACGTAAGTTGGACGATGATTTTGGGGAAACGAGGTCAATCGAAACAAAGTGAAGCCGCTATAGGAGGTAGTAACAATTGTAGGCCCGCATTTTTATGGGAAAAGTGTCCGTCGTACGCAGAGATGATATTCATAGAGAAGAGTGTCGAAATATAAAAATAGGTCGAATGGGCCACGATGCGGTGGAAGGGCTTTGGTAGTCCCAGGGCTATTGTATAATACAATTACAGTATATTTATTGTTGGATCAACGATTCACAGATCGGCTGGTGAAATGTCACTAAGCAATAGTTTCTTGTGTGGTTATTATTGTTATGGTATTATTGGAAGATAAGTATATATTCGCGGACATCTATGTAAAAGCATAAATATACACGGATACGAGATGCGAGACTGCTAAAAGATGATAGGATCAAGCGCGGGTCAAAAATCATCTATGCCAAATTTTAAATATACATACGCCAAATGCTTCATTGGTACTCGAACATCGAGATAGCCGTTTCTATACCGTGTGTACTCTCAACCTTTCAAGTACTACGGTAATTGTATGTCAAAAAGCAATCGCTTCTTGACCCCCCTGTAAATCAACGCAATAGTCTAATTGTCAGGTTTACTCATGTAACACCTTTTTAACATATTTAATGTGCTTCTAATGTATAGATAGTATTCTGCTCTCGATGAAACCACATAACATTAGCTGCCTATCAGCTTTATTGGTATCTTTGATCAGACAACCCTAGCCTCCTTGCCCGTACCATCCATCTTTTGGAGGCAGATTGTCAATCTTCATCGTATAGGTTATCTGAATCTTTTTCTTATTTGGACAGGCAGGATCGTAAACGTACTAGTCAACTCTTGGGGGCTTATTCATATAAATGGTGCCCGTATTACTTGCGATTTAGCCTTAGGCGGTCCGCAACGAATCTCCATTTATAGGAGCCTTTATACGTTGACAATTGGATTTCATCGGAGAACAACTAAAAGACGTTTTCTGGTAGTTCGCTGTTTCTGTCTCGTCAGCCACCCATCTACATAGAACAGCTTGTATTTATTGTCAGATGAATGAGTAGGCAACCTGTTGGATCTCTAACCATGTGAAATTCTCCTTTTGAATCCTGCAGTCGTAGCACAACATCTTATATTTTGCAAATATCATTAAAAGCTAATAAATGTCTCCGGTTTTGCGTCCGGTATTGGGCTACAGATTCGTTTAGACGGCTGGCCGCGAGCTCAAAACAAGATTTCAGGTTTAACCTAGCCAACCTTGCCTGCCCTTATATTTGACAGGTAAACGCCGACTAGTTACGTCACCATCATGGGCATAGCATGAAATACAATCCTAAAGGTGAACCTTAACAACCCTTGAACCGCTAACTAAGGACAAAGCTAAGCACATTTGGTTTTGGCCTTTTGAAACTCTGTCTATGTTTTTGCCCACATAAATTGATCTATGCACGTTTTGAGTCTAGCCTCTCTAACGGGTTGTCATTAATTTTTTTTTCGTACCTTATGAAAGATCTACATCCGAAAATATTTGGCTGATTTTAAACAGATACATTATGGAGAATGTGAGTGAGCGCGACGTGTCTAAAACAAATATGAAGTTCTGATAAAATGTGCCAATTATCAAACGGTATAACAGTCTGATAAGAATTAATGGAAACTACAATAAATTATGTCAAAGCCACCTCCGTCTGTTACCTAGTCACAATGATTCGGTGCTGGAGAATCCGCATCTTGAAGACAGAATCTTCAAGTCTGGCTATGACATTTTCGGACGACATTCATTGCACCCCCAAATCTGTTCGATGGGTTGCCGACCGTGATACACAGATCCGATTGTTACAAGACAACAGCAATGTCTGTGAGCTAAAAAAGCGATACATTGACAATGCATGAGGTGGCAGCATAATTATATAGCACAACGAGCGAACCAATTTCATCCAGCGTTGGAGGAATCGTGTGGCGGCATCTTACCAGTTGACAAAACGATGGGCGTCGGCGTCATCGCACGCGGTAGATAGGAATGACAACATCTTTAACATAGCCGTTATCAGTTATCTAACAACTAGAAAGCAATGGTGTTAAGAGTTTAATTTGGACGGATACTAGCTTCTATGACGTATTGCTAAAAGCAGGCACTAATATTTGATGATCAGGGGTATCAGGAACAACCCAACGCCGTTCTGGATGCTAACACCGCATATTTCTCAGAGTCGGTAAATACAAACCACGAGGATTATATTATCATTCGTTAACATTACGTCGTGTACCAGGCAGCATTTTTTTGAGTAGACATTTACGAGCTACCTATTCATCTTATCAACCTTAATCACCTTAGGTATGTTTAGATTGCATCAAAAATCCTATATATATCTTTTATCCCATCTTTTTACCTTTTCATATTTTTCCGTACCTACCTTGTATATCCTGTAGGAGGTTATGCAGGATTGTAGCCTGATCACAATCCTTTAGCGGGTGCCACGCATCCTGACACACGACACAGAACGTGTATCGACACTTTGAACATTGTAGACCATACGGGTCTACGGTGGGTTTGGGCAGATCGCAGACGTTTTCACAAGACGGACCTGGACAGAACATTCGTAGGGGGTCACGCGTGATCTGTTCATTAAGAAGAAGTGTTTGCCAGCGTTCGAGAAGCCTCGGCTGATTTTTTAGTAAGAGACGGGCCTGTGGCTCTCTCAGGTCCATGTCACAGTTGGTATGCGGACATGGTACCGATGCCCGGCCATTTTGTACGCACACGACAGCGTGCTGCTCAAGGCATTCGACACAAAACGAGTGGGCGCACGGTTCAAGTCTCATACAGCGTTTCAAGCTGACGACACACAAGCACAGCTGGCATAGATTGGCGACAGCCGCGTCCGAGGTAGGCACGTCGTTTGCCGACAGTGATCGCGCAACGGGTTCGTGCAGTCGCACCTCCTTGCGGGCTACCGAAACGAAGGTCTGACTTTTCGGTAGGACTCGGGCTAACTTCTGCTTCCCTGAGGGACTTTGGAAAAGCCAGCTGAAAGGCAGACAATTCCAGCCCGATTTCGTATCTTCATCAGCCCACTGATGGGCCACGGGCCCGCTCTGCGACATCGCAAGTGACCGTACGACGCCGAAACAACGTAACGGCGTAGATGTTCACTGCATAGGCCGTGAACGCTAATGACTCGGGCTCATTAATGTCAGACGCACATTGATCCCGTTTCTTTGTGCCGCCTTATATGGAATGTTACGTAAATTGACGAGTATGCACAGATAATAGCGGCATTCTATCAATCATTAAGTACACTATTTTTTTGCAGTCTCGTAGTTAGCACTGGAAACGATAATTTACTATGTACTGATATTTGCTATAAACACCACCACCTCACAATATCCTAGACGTGTCACACTGTTGTACGGACGGCGTTGATCCTTCCGAAATGGATTCTGTCGTTGTGGCGGAGGTAGTTGTAGAGTAAATGCCTTGTAGATACTGGGAATAAATTTTAACCTCGTTTAATTTTTACCCGCCATTCGTAGTCCACTTGTTTGGGTTTTTCGAAGTTCGTCCTTTTTTCCTTCTGAGCCTTCATTGACGACGATTCTCACCTGTAACACGACAAAGCGCGATAGCAAGCACGCAAACACAATTCACAAATTACGAATATGGTAATGACGATTGATCAATCTATTAGTGTACTTTTTCGCAACGGCGGAAACAAGAGAGATGGCAGTTCTCAGCTGTGCATGCATACGAAGTGATCTAGTGATTCTGTTCTAGCGATCGAGTGACTACACGAGCGACGGGTGACGATGACGCGTCGTAAGCACCGTTAACTGAAAGGGAGGTTAGGCGGTAAGGGCTCTGCGCCCTCTCCTCATTGACACAGTGACGGACTGATCAGCGTTACCAGAAGCTACAATCACAACCGTTGAGACTATGGCACTTATTGGCTGGTAAACCGGTTTACTTTACCTCTGAGCTTCCACCAGATCATCTGAGACTTTAGCCAGACAGAGTTATTCTGGACTGAATGGCGACGAAAGCGTTAGGCTCGATTTAACTGGAAGAGTCATATCCTTGACTTAATATGTACAGTTAAGGGGAACGAAGTCCAGGGTAGGCCGCGCACGCACGACTTACGAACAAGCAAATCAGCGATCGAACAATTAGAAGCTCGAGGCCTGTCCACTATACTATTGCAGGCCGTAACTTCGAATCTCTAAGCGTGTCAGCGGTATGTCGGTAAATAAGATAAATATCAGATGGTACAATATCGAACAGTGCCCACTATATCTCTAGTAGCATAGTCCACCTGAGTGTTCGCTTGATAAAATGACGGGGCGCCTATTTGACTTTAAGGATCCAGACACCCACTAGCGCTCTGTATAGAGCTAATTAAAGACAAAACAAATCACAAATAGATATGATATCTTTTATGGCTTCGTCAATGAAAGCAGAATTATTTAAACCGCTTTGAGAGAGGGAAGGGAAACGTAGCATTCGGTCAGTTGCTCTACAGCTCGTCCCGATAGATCAGATATAACGACATATTATTCTGATTGCCCGGACAGACTTCAACTGCTTTGAATTCCCGAACGTCATATTAAGCTGGAAAAATTTCAAACAGGTGCACCTTCCGAAATGCGACTACGTACTGCTTTCACAGAATAATAAACAATATTTTCGATATTATGATGCGAAGTAAAGCTACTATTTTTTCCAGGGATTCTTCGAAATATGTGCAATACTGTCAATGCAAAAACGAACGATGGAAACAAGACAGCAGAGTATCTTGGCAGGTACAGTTAATAATTCTACTATGACTAGTCAACAAGCGGTATGGCGAAACTTACGCTTATTTCAAATCCTTAAAATTTGTCTTTATTTGCCCAGTGAGGTTTTCAGGAAGTATATATACATATACTTTCTTCTTTTCGGTGGGGCTCCGCACCCACCAAAGAAGGACTCATGGGATTGGTTCAAAGGGAATTCTTTCGCACCTCCATTCAGTTACCTCGCATCCAACTAATCTAATCGGATTATCCGCTGGCCCATTACGATTAACCGCTAACTAACTATAGAACTCCATTTGCCAGTGCAGATATGAAAACAGCTCTACTAGAGGTGCGCCGCAGGCCCTCATCTCTTGAAAGACAGCAGCCTAAAACCGTTCGATAATACGCCCACTCCGATTTACCCTTACGCATTAGAAAGGGTGAGCAATGTTCATTCGATAACAGTAGATAAATGCTCTATATAACATCCAAAATATCATCGTATCATGTTGTCAACTAGAAAGCGTTTCATGATACAAAGTTTCATCAAGTAGACTTTGCTTGATTTTTCTATTTACTTAATAGTAAATTCGTGTGATTCGATGAAACCGCTTAGTTGAAGAACAACTTTTTTTTCTCATTCTGGTTCCGTCTGACGACAGCTATTTCGGACTGCTTCTATCTAGGCACGATAAATCTATGGCGGATGACTGAGCCATGGTCGACTGCATTTTTGTCAAGGAGTCCGCCTATACCATCCCACATCATCTTTGTCAGCCATAGAGGTCAAGACCGAAACTTAAATCGACAACAAACTCGTCCGAAGGCATGATGATGGCTAACCAACGATCTAACAACATTGGCAGGACACACATCTCGAGGCCTGTCCTAAAACATTGTCGAGTCAAAAAGAATGCTCTAATCGCCCAATACAATATTCAGTATATCTGTAGGTATATCTGTTCAGTATATCTGTATATCTGTATTCAGCGATCTGAGCCAGTTCTATGATGAATCTCAGGGTCTACTCCTTCCCGTATACAAGTAATCATAACAATGGCTACTATAAACACATGGTTTCCAGTCAAATCTCGAAATTTCTTATCTGTCTGCCTAACTTTCAGCGTTTTAGTTCTCAGCAGTCGACGTACACCAGAATACCGGCGACCGCAACGCGATCGGACCCAACAACATCGGCATGCCGGTAGACCCGCTCTTAGAAACACACACTCTTTCATAATCGTGACTGTGGTCAGCTACCACTTCTACTACTACGATACAACTGGTTAGTGGCACCAGCAGCGTCGTTTGATTCAGCGCAGCGTCGATATAGGTCAAAAGCGCGCCATCAACGACGGCGCCAGCAAAACGCACGGCAGTCGCAGTACGCGACCAAGCCACGGCGACATCTGCGCCTTCCCTTTCTTCTCGACCGCCACTGGCCGGGATATGATCAACAACAAAAACAACAGCATCAACAACAGCCATGGCAGTAGCCGCCATTTGACAGCATTACCGGACGAGGAAGCTGAACGCGACTGCGGACGGGTAAACGGTCAGACAGTCCGCGTCTATTATTTCACAGGAATCATCGTCATCATAGAGGTAGTGGCCGCTGTTCCTGTTTGACCTAGGTAAATGGTAGTACATATGCTGATGGTGGTATCGACTCGAGTCTACCAGTGGCCTGGGTGTAGGCCTGGTCGAAGTGCTCTTGTCAAAAATAACCGTCACGGCGTAACAGCGTGTACAATATATGCAGGAGATGGACATATAATAGTTTCCAGTTGATGACTGTATGTCGATATGTCGCGTATATGGATACGTAGATGCTTTCGTAATTATAACATCAACTAGCAGCTGCGTATTGGACCTGTCTAGTGACGAAATAAGAATGGTTATGATAACATGGATCGGCGTAAATGAAGCGACCACAGTTACATCGGCCTCTTTGCGCGTGTAGTATTAAAAGTGAATTTCGTATTGGTCGTCTTCGATAGGACGAAGGAAACGATTTGATGCTGGGTCTAATTTTATTATATTATACATCGCTCGATCTAAAAAAGACGCAGTTCTGTCGTAGTACGATAGGGAAACACTTTTTAATTAATGGAGAGGCAAACGACTGAAGCAAACGATGACGGAACAAACAAAGATAAATACACGTTAAAGAGTGCGGAAAAGTAAGTTCGCAACGTTCGAGCGACGTGTAAGTTAATTGCTAGCGCGAGAAATATGCTGTTATCTAGGGAAAAAGAAAACGATATCATTGAACGACATTTTAGCTGTAGGCTTGTTTTTACCAAATTATAAAGGCACTGTCCTTCTTATTAAGGCCTCGCGTTTTATCCAATAGTTGCAAAGTTTGTGAATAAAAAGAAAATTCCTGATCTTCGTCTGTTAAAAAACATTACAAAGTGAGTCTTACATATATTGAACACATCCTGCAAAATATGACTCACGAGGCTTGGACTACATACGGCTTCAGACGTAATCGCCTTCGCATGTTTTACGCCGGCTCAATGTAATGAAGCATTATGTCACGTTAATGAGGCTAGCTTTCGTGTTCGAATATCGATTTCAAACCAGAGCAGTTACTCTCATGTACACCTATAGGGACACATATTTATCAAGAGACCGCTCACTTCTTAATATCTCCTAGGAATCTATTAAAAAAAAAAAGCTAAATGCAACTATGTCACGGTTACGGTTAGTCGACCTGGTTAGAATCCAGTTGCACAATAACGCCGGTTTCGGAAGTAGAAATATCTATATTTCTCAAATAACCTTAATTGAATTTAAACCAAAAGCCTAGGTGGGTATTTGGGGAACCCGGAGATCAGTGTCGAGCACTTATCTCGCTCAGAAAGAGTTACCCGGTGGTACGGCCTGTGGAGTAAAGGTGTTGCTGGGCCCCTTTTCTTTATGAAAATGCCGATGGAACGGCGGCAAAGGTTAATGTCATCTGTTTTCCTTCTGAGCTTGAGAGTCACGTAATGGTCTGGGTTCGAATCCAAGCGTAGACACGCTTTGTTCCGTGCTGAGAGTCAATTGTCTGATACGATGCCTAACGGCGGTACCCGACGTTAAACTCGAAATATTTAGCAGTAATCAATGGCCAGCTCTACCAAAACGTGTTGCAAGCGTTATGAAATGAGAATATCATACGCAAGCAACATTTTTTTTTGCAAAAAAATGGGAATCCTGCCATACAGCGCGGGAGACAATCAATCCGCTTGAACCGTGTTCTGAGGCCGGCTGATCTTTGCGCGCGGCGGTGACATCGAATAGCCGCCCAGATCCGCTGATTTGACTCTTCTCGATATTTTTCGTGTGTGTGAAAGGCAGAATCTATAAAACAATACCAAAAACAATCCGCAATCGGGATCAATCTATTTGTAGAGGGAAGTTCGTTAATGAAGTTGACGCTGAACTATGCGGCGCCGTTAGTCAAAGTTATCCCAAATGTTCCTGGGAAAACATTTGGCAGACATGATTTTATGTGTAGTGCAGACTGACCCTCCTGAGTTAGGCTAACTTAACAATGAAAAGACGCACACAGGCTGGCTTTCTATTTCCTGCAACTTGTGGAACATCGTATATCTACTTGGCAAGATTGGCTAGGTCCCTATCTAGGGTATCAATCAGGTCATGGAATAAAAAACCCACAACTTGTTCTGTAGGAACAGTATCGATTGCTATTATCCGGTAAAAAATATTCGTCATGAACTCTGATTGGACGCTCCATCAAAATAACTTCGAACTAAAGCAAGACCGCCGTTCCTTTCAGAATGCATAGATTTCCTGTGTTCGATTCTAAATCATAGCTA